CTGGTAGAACAAGCTGTGTCCTTTCACCCATGTACCATACTGTGTTTTCCAGGTTTCCTGTCGAGATCATGATGAACGTCCCGCTAGTGATTCTCTGGGGACATTTCTGTTCCCAAGACAAGTGATGATGTTCACCTCCACTGTTTCAAATGATCTGATCTTCTCATATCGATATATGTGTGATTGATGGCCTAAACTTGCTTACCGTGTGTGTGTGTGTGTGTGTTTATGCGTGTGTGTGTGTGTGTGTGTGTGTGTGTGTGCACGTGTGTGTTTTAGATAATCAGGTAAGAAATGACACCATTTTGTCTACGGCCATACCACCCTGAACGTACGCGATCTCGTCTGATCTCGGAAGGTAAGCGGGGTCGGGCCTGGTTAGTACTTGGATGGGAGAAATGACAGCATTTTGCCAATTACTGCTCTCATGCTATTCTAGTGTTTCCTATTTCAGAGAAAGACTTTGTTTACTTCTGTGAGTGATAGGTGAATTCTGACGTGAATAGCCATAATCATGGAGTTGTGTGATGGGGTAGTACCCTTGGTATTGTGCAGGTGAGCAGGAAAGTGGTGAAGGTGTGGCTATCTTTGGCATAGACCTTGAAGGACTGCAACAATGCAGAGTGTCCATAGATGCATTCTTCACAAGGTGGTTTTTAAATTACCATCGAGAGGTCATGGTAAATTTCAAGATGGTCCTTGATTAGACTTTGCATCTGTTCAAGTAAGTGATGCTATGGGCCTTAAGCACCCTACAAATGGATTTTCAGATATTTAGATAAGGGTAGATGGTGTTCCTAACTGTTCTGTTACCATGTGTCTATGCAGGTGTTCGGTTCAGAAATGATACCGTTCCAACCAGTGCTAGTAAGTATGAGCCCTTATTTATTTCTGTTTTTAAATTGAGATCTAATGTGTATTTAACTTCAGTAGTGATAACGGGATATGCATTTCCAGGGAACTTCTCCTTTTAGCCAGCAATAGTGACCATGAGATTTCTAGAAGTACTGCTAGAAGAGATGTTAGTGTGTCTGACAATGGTGTTGACATTCAAGTTGGGCCAAAATCCATATCGTGTTATGTTTTCCCTAATGATGGAATTGACTGAGATTAAGTGAAAATAGGCTATTTTTTTTTTTTTTTGGCAGGTAAACAAGTTGTATCCTGCCACAGGCTTGTTGAGTGTTTGTGTCAAGATTCTAGCAGTCCTGACATCACAGTGACCCAGAGTGTTGTCATCAATGGGAACTTACTGGTAACCAGGTATGTGATAAAGTGGGTTATCCCAGTACACACATCTGATCCTCAGCTCTCGAGGTGAGTGAGGTTAGTGTCTCTAGCACAGTGTACCGTGCTTTTCTGAAAGTTTCCTATTGACTTCTTTGCTAGTTCTTTACCGTTTTGAGATGATGTGATAGTAAGTCATTAGGTCCATTCACTTTGTAAGTGTGGATGGATTTCCCAAGTTGTTGTTAGTATGCTTTTGTCTTTGTTTTTTTTTTTGACAGGTATTCGGGTAAGGAATGACACGGTCCCAACAAATGGTAGGATGCATGCTAGTAAGTATTTTAAAGTTTAGATAGAATGTGTGTTTAGCCCTAGTGGTGACAGAGGGATACACAGGTGTGCAAGTCCCTTATCCTACGGGGCCACAGCACAGTCATGAGCCTGAAATTTTATAGGTACTCAGGAGATGATGGTTTCTCTAACAGTGGAGTTGACCTTGAAGTTCTAGTTCCGCCAAGGTCCAAAGTGTTGATGATTCCTCTAATGATGGAAATATCTTACATGTCAGTTGTGTTTTTTCAGGTCATGGTAGTCAGTCATGTTACAGTGACCCTGGTTATGCTCTTTCATGGGACCCTGCTAGTCACCTGGTAAGTGGTATTGTGGATGTGACAGTGTAGTTGAGATCACCTGTTCTTAAGATGTGTAGGTAAGTGAGGAGGGTGTCCCAAACACTAACCACAGGGTTAACATGTTCTCTCTGCAGATATCTTGTTAAAGTCTTTGTGTTGCACACATATGAGATGATGTCACATTAACTCATTAGACCTCCCTATTTTCAGATGTGTATGTAATTAATGATGTTTTGAATGCTCTTACATTACACATGCTTTTGGCTTATATGCAGTAGTTTAACTTGTAAACACCGTATTCTTGCGGGAGTCCTGTTAAAACATGATGGTCTCTGTGATAAAAGTGTCGACCCAAATTAAAGGAATCCTCAAAGTAGAGTTGATGTGTTCCATAATAATGGAAGTAAAAAGGATTATTAGCAGGTGTTCTGGTAGAACAGTTTATACTTAAACAGACTCTTTCAATGTGTTTGTTCAGGTTCTTGTCGAGAAAACCCAGTGAACCTCACGGTATTCACTGAAGGAAGCTTGCTTTTAACCTGGTAAGGGATGAAGCGGGTTCCACCACCATCCAGACCAGGTGATCTTCCATAGGAAGGTGGGTGACGTTGATGTCCCTGACATTTGTGGTACCGTGTTTGTTTGCAGGTATCCCATTAAGGCCTTCGCTGCTATGCAGGTAGGAGATGATGTGACAATGACTTAGACGTTATTTTCAGAGCGCTGTGACTAACGATATTATTCAGGCTCTTACATAACTTAGACATGTAGGCAGTTAAGACATTCAGTTGTCGCTAACAATCATAGTATGCGTGAGAATTTCTTCTTGTTTAGAGAGAATGTGTTTTGGACTGATGGGGGACTTTCAGACATCCAGGGAATTCATCATACTGTCCATCACTGTGTTATTAACAATAGCCGTTTTGCAGGTATTCCTTCAAGAGACGAAGGTGGCTCCTACTGCGGCTGACCTCAGAGTTTTGCAAGCGTTCAGGTATTATTGTTGAGTGCTGAAATGATAGAAATGACTAAGGCAATTTGGAGGTGTAGAGGTAGAATGATACATGGACCAGACACTTTTTTCACGATGTGTTTTTCGAGTCATGTCAAGACCTCACTGTGAGCTTCCCAATGATTACATGGGACGTTGCTGTTACCGAGGTAAGTGATGTGGGCCTAATTCATAGTACAGATCATCTGATCTTGACATGCAGACATAAGAGGTGATGGGTATCTCTAATATTTCTTTTTAACACACTTCTGAATAGTATTCAAATCATAGAGGATAGATTCCATCCAATTCTGGGAACCATTGTTTTTCACACTTTATATTAAAGTGAAAAATTATGTTTACCTCTGTGAGTGTTGCGGGATTGTGTGTATCCAAACAATTGTCATGATGTTCTGTCCCCAGTAAGTAACCATGGGATTTTTATAAGGTTCCTGTTATGAAATGATGATGTTATCTGACCTTGGTGTTGACCTTGAATTAATCGAAGGATCCTTGATGTGCTCTGTGATGATAGAGTGTCCATGGTTATTTGCAGATGTTCTGGCTAAAAAAAAAAAACAAAAACGTGGTATCCCTTCATACATACTTCAAAAAATGTTTTTTGGGTTCTTGTCAAGAGACCATGATGAACCAGAAGTCATTAACAGGGGGGACATCTCTGGCGTGCAGGTAAGTGAGGACAGGCACATCACAGACCTTCTGATCTTTGTCCGTCTGGGTGAATGATGCTGGATTGTCGAAACCTGTTTGACTGTGTGAGTTATTAGCAGATGTTCAGGTAAACAAGCCATCATAGTGTTTTGCTAATTTTAGCAATCATTATCCTGCTGTCCTGTTGTACAGGTAATATACGTTTAACTATGTGAGTGTGGAGTAATTTCCATTTTTCTGGGTAATTCCTGGATTTCCACCTCACAGTTGTACCCATGACAATTTAGAGATGTGTAGTCAGGAAATAATGTGTGTAAATTTGGCGAACCCTTTCTGTCTGTCTGTTTCTCTCTCTCACACACAATAAGTAAAGAAACTTAGGGAAATAAAAGAAATGACAGATTCCTTAGCCATTCTAATAACCATGAGTTTCTACTTTGCATATTTTAGAGAAAATTTATGCTTAATCCTGTAAGTATCGACAAATTGATCCTGTCTAGGTAATTGTATCGTATACTCACCACAGTAGAAACCATAGGATTTTTTCAGGTATCCGGTTAACTAGTGTTAGTCTCTCCTGAAAACAGTGCGTTGATCTTGATTTGGTACAAGTGTGCTGGTGGAATTCAAGTGTTCCATAATAATGGAAGGGAACAAGTTCACGTGCACGTGTCTTGGGAGAACGCATTGTATATTAAACACATTTCTGTGTGTTTCCTCAGGTGCCTGGTAAGAAAACAGGGTGAACTGAAAATGGTTCACATAGCCTTGTGCAGGTAAGTGTCAAAGTGAATCCGACTACAATGAAGACCATGTGACCTTGAGTATCTAGGTAAGCGAGGGTGTTATCCCTAACATTGGTGTTAATGTGGCTTATTTTTTTATTTTTGTCGGTATCAGGTTAGTATCTTTGCTAGTGTGCGGGTATGAGATGGTGTGATATTAACTGATTAAAGACCTTTGTTTTAAAGATTTTATTTGTAAGTAATTTCTGCACCCTCCATGGGGCTCAAACTCACAACTGTAAGATCCAGAGTCACATGCTCCACCGACTGAGCCAGGCAGGTACCCCTAAAGACATTTCTATATTCAGGTATCTACATAATTTATCACTTCAAGTCTCTTCAGTTTACTTTCTTTATGGGATGTATTCAGTTAAGAGTTTACTGTGTCCCTTATAATGCTGGTAGCAATACGATTATTTTGTGTTCTTGTTTGGAAATAAGATCACTTAACATAGCAGTTACAAATTTGCAGATATCGTGGAAGTTTCTCATATTGTCCTTCGCTACTTTATTGACTATGGAATTAGTATAAGTAATTTGAAGAGACGAAGGTGCGTCTTCCTAGAGATTGACCTGGGAGTTCTGCAAGGATCCATGGGTCCTGAAATGATACAGTGACCAAGGGAACGTGCAGGTGTAGTGGTAGAATGAGACGCGCCCAAAATATTTTTTGCAATGTTTTTCTTTTTACAGACTCGTATCATTGAATCACACTGAGCCTATTGATGATAGCTAACATAAGATATTGCTAATGTCACAGTAGAGATGATGTAGGCCTTAGCCACAGCACCGACCATCTGATCTTCAGACTGCTAGGTAAGTGCTGATGGTGTCCCTGACACTTGTCATTACCATGAATTCTCTGCAGGTATTCAGGTAGGAAATGACAGATCTCTTACTAATTCTCAAAACCACGGGTTTTCGATGTTTAGAGAAAAGTCTCGTTTAACTCTAATGAAGGATTGCACATATCAGGTGTTTGTCAGTATGTGTCAACCACAGTAGTGATGGTGGAAATTTTGCAGGTGCTCCGTAGAAGTTGTGTTACCTGACAATAGTCTTGACCTTGGAGTCCTACAGCTATTCGAGCAGAGGTAATGCTTCCATAATGATGGAAGTGACCCAGATTATTTATTGGTGTCCTGGTAGAACAAGCTGTGTCCTTTCACACATGTATCGTAATGTGTTTTCCAGGTTTCCTGTCAAGAGATTATGATGAAACTCACACTAGTGATTCTCTGGGGACATTTCTGGTCTCCGGACAAGTGGTGATGTTCACCTTCGCCATTTCAACCCATCTGATCTTTCTGTATCTGGATGAATGTTATCGATGGACTAAACTTGCTTAGCACATGTGTTTTGTTTTTTTTTTAATAATCAGGTGAGAAATGACAGCATTTTACCAGTTACTGAAATCATGCCGTTCTAGTGTTTTCTATTTCAGAGAAAATGTATGTTTACTTATTAGAGTGTTAGGTGAATTTGGATGTGAATAGCCATAATCATGGAGTTGTGTGGGATAGTAGTAACCTTGATGTTTTTCCACATGAATAGGGAAGAGGTGATTGTGTGTCTGTCTTCGGCATACACCTTGAAGGACTGCAACAATCCAGGAAGAGTTGACGGGTCCTGCGCTGATGGCAATGAACAAGATGATGTGCAGTGGCCTAGTAGAAGAGGAGACACATTTTTCACGAAGTGTTTTTTAATTACCATCAAGTGATCAAGGTAAATTTCCACATGGTCATTGATGGGACTTAGTTTATATTCAGGTATGTGATGATGTGGGCCTTAAGCACCCTACAAATGGATTTTCAGATATTCAGGTGAGGGTAGACGGTGTACCTAACTGTTCTGTTGCCATGTTTCTATGCAGGTATTCACATCAAAGATGATACTGTCCATTACCAGTAAGTATGAGCCCTTATTCATTTTTTTTTTAATTTAGAGATAATGTGTATTTAACCTCAGTAGTGATAAAGGGATGTGCATTTCTGGGGAACTTCTCCTGTTGCACATCTCCTTGGCCATGAGAGTTCTCTTCTTTTTCTAGAAGAGATTTTAGTGCGTTTAACAATGGTGTTGAGCTCAAGTTCTACCAAGATCCATGTCGTGTTCTGTTTTCCCTGATGACGGACGTGACCCAGGTTATTTGTAAATAAACTATTTCTTTTTGCAGGTTAACAAGTTGTATCCTGCCACTTGCTTGTTATAAGATTCTAGCAGTCCTGACACCACAGTGGTAGACAGTGGTCGTCAGTAGGAACTTTCCGGTAACCAGCTATGTGATATTGTGGATGTCACCAATTAGTTGAGATCAACTGTTCTTGAGATGTCTAGGTAAGTGAGGATGGTGTCCCAAACACTGAGCACAGCGTTAACATGTCTTTTCTGCAGGTATCATGTTCAAGTTTGGCTGTTGCACAGGCATGAGATGATGTCACGTCAATTCATTAGACATCCCTATTTTCCAATATGCATGTGATTATTGATATCTGAATACTCTTCCGTTACACATACTTCTGGCTTATAGGCAGTAGTTTAATTTGTCCCTAATAATACTGGTAAAAACGATATTTTGCTGTATACTTGTTCAGGGATTGTGTTTCCTACACTCCCCCTGATGAGAGGTTCTGCACGTGTCCAGATGATCTATCATATTGTCCGTCTTCATAATCCTGAATGTGGAAATTTTACATGTATCTCTTTAAGGGAAGAAGGTATTTCCCACCAGGGTTTAGTCCTGGACTTCTGCAAGTATGCAGCTAGTGTTGATGCCTCTCAAAATGATGCACTTGACCAATGGAATCTGCAGTCGATCACATAGAAGAAAGTATGTGCTGAACGTGTTTTCCACAATGTGTTTTTCAGGTTTATGTGAAGCTCTTCTGATTGATAGGCTCAGCTATCGTATTTAATGAGGCATATGGAAGTATCTAGATTAGTGGTGATGTGGGCCTAAACCACAGCACAGATCATGTGATCCTAATATGTAGGTAAGTGAGTGTGTCCCTAACACTTCTGTTACTATGATTTTGTTGCTGGTGTTCAGCTAAGAGATGATCGAGTCCTTACCATGTCTAAGTGACCATGACTTTACCCTTTTTAAATTTTGGAGACAACTTACATTTAATCCTGTGAGTCTTGACATTTGAATGTATCCCTAATTGTCAAGGAGTTTCCATGCCAAGTTAAACACCATATTGTTGCAGGAGTCCATGATGGTGTCTCTGACAAAAGTGTTGACCCAGATTAATGGAAGCATCAAAGTAGAGTTGATGTGTTCCATAATAATGGAAGTGAAAAGGATTATTAGCAGGTGTTCTGGTAGAAGAGTTGTGTACTTAAACATATTTTTCCTATGTGTCTCTTCAGATGCTTGTCAAGAAAACCCAGTGAACCTCACAGTATTCACTGATAGAAGCTTGCTCTTGACCTGGTAAGTGATAGAGTGGGTTCTACCACCATCCAGACCACGTGATCTTCCATAGGAAGGTGGGTGAGGGTGATGTCCCTTATGTTTGTGTTACCATGTTTGTTTGCAGGTATCCCGTTAAGGTCTTTGCTACTAAACGGTACAAGATGATGTGACGTTTTCTTATTAGAGACATTCTCATTTTCAGGTATTTACATTATTAATGTTCATGACTGTTACATTTATCTTAATTTTTGGCATGTATTCTGTTAAGAAATTAATACATCCCTAAGAACACTGGAAGAGTGTAATTTTCTGTGTTCTTGTTTGGGGATACTGTGTATTTAATACCTGTAGTGATAGAATGATATAGGTATTCTATTACATAGTCTATCATAGCATTATTGACCATGGAGTTTTTGCAAGTATCCATCAAGAGGAGAAGGTAGGTCCTCCTCACTTTTTAACCTGAGAGTTTTACAAGTAACCGAGACAGATTTCAAGTGTAGAGGGAAAAGGATTCACTCTCTACAACGTGGCGTTCAGGTTCTTGTCAGAACATTCCGGTAAGGTAAGCCTATTATTGGTAGTTAACGTGGGACATTGCCAATGTCAAGGTTAGTGACAGTGGGCCTAACCCACAGTACATGCCATCTGTCCTATACCTAAGGAAGTCCTAGCTTGCCTAAGCTTTTTGTTGCCCTATTTCTCTTGCTTGCCATTTGTCTGTTAGTTTAGGTATTTAGTTTAGAAATGCGACTATCCTTATCAATACTCGTAACCACGTACCTTCCTTTTTTTTCAAGAAAATGTATGTTTAACCCTGTGAGTTTTGAGTGATTCATGGGTGTCCACCTAATGATTATGGAGTTCCCTCTTCCAGTAGTAACCCTGTGTCCCTTGACAGCAGTTAGGAGGTGAGGGTGTTTTTAACAGTGGCGTAGACCTTGGACAACTGCAAGTATCCAGGGAGAGATGAGGTGTCTCATGAGGGTGAAAAGGACGGAGGTCATCTGCAGGTGTTCCGGTGGACAATATGTGTTCATCTGCCCACGTATCTCAATGTGGTTTTCAGGTTCCCATCAAGAGCTCATGGTGATGAGCTTCCTAATGGTTTTTACCAGCGACATCCTTGTCTTGCAGTAAGTGGTGATGTGCCTTAAGCATCCCCACCGACCTGTCTTGAGATGTCTAGGTAAGTGACGATAATATCACTAACACTTGTGTGACCACAGTTTTGTTTGGTTTTGTGTGTGTGTGTGTGTGTGTGTGTGTGTGTGTAAAAATAGTACCTCAGACAAGGCTAGTAAGCATTATTAGCTCTCACAGGCTTAAGAGTTTAGGGGCACCGAGCCCATCCGTGGAGCATGTGACTCTTGATCTTGGGTTGTGAGTTCAAGCCCCGCCGTGGGCCTAGAGCTTACTTAAAAATAAATAAATACGTAAGAGCTTATGTTTAATGTGTGTTGAACATAAATAGTGACCGAGATCTATGCAGGTAAGTTATCCAGGCTTCATACCCCAGTATTGACCATAAGATTTTTCCAGGTGGTCAGTCAAGAGGTAATGGTGTCTCTAATATCCATGTAGACCATGAAGTTCTGCCAGGATCCAGGTAATGTTGATGGTTCCCACAATGAGGAAATTGACCAAAATTCTTTACAGGCCCCCTGGCAGAACACGTTGTTGCCTTACCCACATTTTTGACCCCTCTTTTTTCAGGTTCCTGTCAAGAAATCACTGTAAACGTAATAACGGTCATGAACAAAATCTTGTTAGTAACCAGTGAAGGGATAGAGTGTTGCTTACCGTTAAGACCATCTAATCTTCACATTATCAAAGCAAGTGAGAATGAGGTCTCTAACATTTGTGTTCTCATCTTTTTGCAGATAAGCCATCAAGGTTTTGCTAGTAAACAGGTATGAGATGATGTGACATTGACGTAGACATTATTTTCAGAGCTCTTTGTGACTAATGATATTGTTCAGGCTCTTACAGTAACCTAGTGTTAGGCACATATGCAGTTAAGAAATTAAGTTGTCCCTGACAATCATAATATGCCTGGGAATTTCTTATTGTTTAGGGACAATATGTTTTGGATTGATAGTGGGACTTTCAGACATCCAGATAATTCATCATATTGTCCATCGCTGTGTTACTTACCGTGGGATTATTGCGGATAATCCTGCAAGAGAGGAAGGTGGCACTTACTTGGGGCTGACCTCAGAGTTTTGCAAGTTTTCAGGTGTTACTGTTGGGTCCTGAAATATGATACAAATGACCAAGGGAATTGGCAGTTGTCCATCAGGATAAACTTGTACCAAACGCGTTTTTCGCAGTGTGTTTGTCAGGTTCCTGTCGAGACATCACGACGAACCTAGCGATGGTCAGTAATGGGGAACTTTCTGCAAGCAGGCAGATAAAAGAGGATGTGGGCCTAAACCTCAGGCCATCTGGTCTCCAGATAGCTAGGTAAGTGATGATGTTTATAACATTTCTCAATCCCATTACGTTCCTGCAGGTGTTGAGGTAAGAGACGATGTAGCCCTTACCAGTAATGAAAACCGTGAGTTCTCGCCTTTATGTTTAGAGAACATCTATAGCCCTGTTCGTGTCGAAGGATGGTTCTTGTACAGGTGATTGTCATGGAGTTCACACCCCAGTAGGACCCACGGAATGTGGCAGATGTCCAGTTGATGTGTTCCATGGTAATGGGAGTAAAAAGGTTATGTTCAGGTGTTCTAGTAGCATAATTTGCATTTCAAACCCATTGTTGCTTGTGCTTTTACAGGTTCTTGTCAAGAGAACACAGTGAACCTTCCACCGGTTTGGAACGCATCCTTACTAGTAACCAGGTAAGTCATACAGTGGGTCTTACTACACTGCAGACCAATGTAATCCCCAATATCTAGGTAAGTGAGGGTGGTGTCCCTAACACTGTGTTACTGTGTTCATTTGCAGATACCCTTTTAAGGTCTTTGCTTGCCCACAGGTATGCAATCATGTGACATTAACTCAATAGAGACGTTCTTATTTTTAGATAGCCGCATATTAATGTGTTTCAGGTTCTAGTATTCACATTGTTCTTGGCATGTATTCTGTTAAGAAATCAGTGTATTGCTAAAATACTAGTCAGAATGAGAGTTTTATCCTGGTTCAGAGATACTGTATTTTTTAAAACGAGTGGCGATAGAAGGATATGCAGGTATTCGGGTAATTGAGAATATTGTCCGTCACAGTATTATTGACCGTGGCTTTTTTGTAGGTATCCCTGCGGAGAGGAACCAGTCTCTTCCTAGCTTTGAGCTTGGAGGTCTGCAAGTACGCAGGTAGTGTCGATGGATCCCAAAACAATATAAGTGACCAAGGGAATTTGCAGGTGTATGGGTTAAATAAGACACAAAAAATTTCCACAATGTGTTTTTCAGATTCACTTCAGGACATGACGGTGAGTCTGTCAATAGTAGTTCATGTGAGACCCTGGTGGTATGAACGTAAGTGATGATGTGGGCCCCAGCACAGACCATCTGATTTGCATATGCATGGGCAAGTGATTAAGTGTTCTAACACTTCTCGTTACTGTGATTTTTTTTTTTTTTTGGCAAGTATTCGGGGAAAAAAAATGATGGTTTTACCAACTGTAGAAAACACAAGTTTTCACTTTTATATTTCAAGAAGGTTTATGTTGAACACTGTGAGGCGTTACATACATACAAGTATTTATCTTGTGTTCCCTCCGTAGTACTATTTATTTGATATTTAGAAGCGTCCGAACACTGACAGTTTTCTGACGTTGTTGCTAACTTTCAATTACAAGTACTCAGAGTTGGTTTGTTCCATAATGATGAAGTGAACAATCTTTTTTGCAGGTGTCATGGTACAAAAAGTTGTTTCCATTAACCCTGATTTTGTAACGTGTTTTCCAGATCCTTGTCAAGACCTCACGATGAACTTAGCAGCAGTCATTAATAGGGGCGGATATCCTGTTGATACGCAGGTAAGGCCACCCGATCTCCAGATACGTAGGTAAGGGATAACAGTGTCTCTAAGAGTTGTTACCATGATTTCTTTGCAAGTATTCGGGTAGGAATTGATAGTCCTTTCTAATTCTAGAAAGTGTGAGTTGTTAGCGTTTGTATTTTAGAAAAGATGTCTGTTTAGCCCTGTGAGTGTTAAGGGATCCCTTTGAGTGTTAAGGGATATTTATCATGATGCTTCCGACCATAGCAATGACCATGGAAATTTTGCAGGCGTCCTGTAAAGAAATACTGTCTTCCCTGACAACAATGGTCTTGATCTTGGAGTACTGCAAGCATGCAAGTAGAGTTGACGTTCTCATAATAGCGAACGTGACCAAGGTGCCTTAGAGGTGTTCTGCTTCCAGCAGGTCACATCCCTTTACACATATATCATAATGTATTTGTCAGGTTCCTTCAAGATCCTGAAGCACTTAACAGTGGTCAGTAATGGGGGACATTTCTTGTGTCCAGGTAAGCGGTGATGTGTATCTTTACCGCATCAGAGCCTCTGATCTCTCCGTGTGTGTGTGTGTGTGTGTGTGTGTGTGTGTGTGTGTGTGTAATACGTAAGGTGTTGATTGCCTTAGCTTGTTTTAATGTGTGATTTTTTTTAAGGTTTGCCGGTAAGAAATGATGTTTTAATAATTCTGGCAATCATGTTATCCTACTGTTATGTATTTTAGAGAAAACTTATGTATAACCATGTGAGTGTTGATCAATTTGTGGGTATCCACGTAATAATCACAAAGTTGTGCATCACAGTAGTAACTGTGGTATTGCTGCTGGCAAACATTCAAGAGATGATGGTGTTTCTAACAGTGGTGTAGACTGGAGAATACTGCGAGAATCCAGGTAGAGTTGATAGGTCCTGCGTTGACGAAACTGAGCAAGGTTATTTGGAGGGTCCCGAGAGGAGAAGTATGTCCATAGTCACCTTTGTCATAATGTGTTTTTCAGGTTCCGGTCAAGAAATCATGGTATGCCTCATAATGACCATTAACAGAACTTTGCTCGCAGCCAGGTAAAAGATAGGAGCCTAAAACACCCTACACACAATCCAGTCTTCAAATATTTAGGTTAGTGTGGATGGTCCTAACGTGTGGGATAGCATGTTTTTCTGTGTGGATTCAGTTGAAAAATGATACTGTCCCAACCAATGTTAGTAGTAAGCATTAGCCCTTAGTACTATAGAGCTTAACATTCAGTGGGTGTTTAAACTTAGCAGTGATGGAGGCATATACAGGTATCTAGGTAAGTTATTCTACTATTAACAATCTCATTAAGTTCTTTGCTAGTATAAAATTGAGGTGATGTGACAATAAATCATCAGGGATTTCTTATCTTCAGATATATAGGTAATTAATGTTTCCTAAACCTTTATATTAGTCTTCTTGGCATATACACAGTTCAGAAATTAACTTGTCCCTAACAGCACTGGCGAGGATGAGATTTTACTGTCTTCTTGTTCAGAGATCATACGTGTTTTTACACTCCTACCAGTGGACCTACAGTCAGTCATCCAGCTAATTTGTCATATATTCCATACCCATGATGCTGACCGTAGGATTTTTCAGGCATCCACTCAAAAGATGAAGGTAAATCTAACTAGAATTTAACCTGTTGAGTTCTGCATATTATCCAGTAATGTTGAAGGGGGTCCCAAAATAATACACTGGCCAAGAGAATTTGCAATTGTCCAGGTAGAATAAAATGTACATGGAACAAGTTTTCTATGCTGTGTTTTCAGGTTCAGGTTAAGACATCATGGGGAGTATATCCATCGTGGTGAATGAGGCACATAGCAGGTATGGAGGTAAGTGATGATGTGGGCCTGAGTCACAGCACAGATTATCTGATTCTATATGCAGGTAAGGTATTATGGCCCTAACACTTCTTGTTACTATGATTTTGTTACAGGTGTTCAGGTAAGAGATAGTCCTTACCAAATCTAGTGACCTTGACTTTATACGTTTTACATTTTAGAGATAAACGTTTAACCCTGTGAGTTTTGAGAGCTGATTGTATCCATAACTGTTAATTTCCCACCCCAGTAGTAACCACAGTGTATTTGCAGGAAGTCTGCTTCAGACATGATGGCCTTCTTCTGATGAAGGTGTTGACCTGAGTTGATGCAAACGTCAAGGTAGAGTTGATGTGCTCCATAATAATGGAAGTGCAAAGGATTGTCAGCAGGTGTCCTGGTAGAACAAGTCATGTCCTTGAGCATCTCTGTCCTATGTGTCTCTTCAGTTTCTTATCAAGAAAGTATAGTCAGGGCGCCTGGGTGGCTCAGTTGGTTAGGCGACCGATGTCAGCTCAGGTCACGATCTCACAGTTCGTGAGTTCGAGCCCTGCGTCGGACTCTGTGCTGACAGCTCAGAGCCTGGAGCCTGCTTCGGATTCTGTGTCTCCCTCTCTCTCTGCCCCTCCCCCACTTGTGCGCGCGCGCGCGCGCTTTCTCTCTCTCTCTCTCTCTCTATCAAAAATAAATAAAACATTTAAAAAAAATTTTTTAAGTAAAAAAAAATTTTTTTTAAAAAACATTAATTTGACCCTAATATGAGTAAAAATTAGATTTTTCATATTCTTATTTAGGGATGATGTATAATCCAAGTAACTTACTCTATTACCGTCATCATTTTTATCGACCTTGGAAATTTTTTCAGGTGTCCGTTCAAGAGAAGTAGATGTCTCTTCACAGGGTTTATCCTTGGAGTTCTGCAAGTAAGTATCCAGGTAATATGGATGGGTCTCAAAGCGACCAAGGGAATGTGCAAGTGTGGAGGCAGAATAATTCATGTGCTCAAAACATTTTCCACGATGTGTTTTTTTCAGGTTAATGTCAAGACCTCACGGTGACTTTATCAATGATAACGAATGTGGGACATTGCTGGAATGGAGGTAAGTGATCCTGTGGGTCTAAACCACAGCACATACCATCCAGCTTTCATAAATCGAGGTAAATGCTGAGTGTCCTTACACTTCCTGTTACCATGAATTTTTTGAAGGTGTGCGGGTAAGAAATGATAGAGTCCTTACCAATTCCAAAGACCCTGTTTCTCTGCTTTCTGTATTTCAGGACATGTTCATTTTTAATCCTCTGAGTGTTGAGGGACTGCACGTATACAGGTATTTATCATGATATTGCCTGTCAAAGTCCTACTCATAGGCTATTTGCAGGTGTCCAATCATAGAATGATGGTCTTATCCGATACTGGTATTAACCTTGGATTACTGTAAGTATCCAGTAGAGTTGATGTGTCTCATGATGATGAAGTGAACACTGTTATTTGCAGGTTTCCTGGTAGGAAAAAGCTATGTCCTTCAACACACGCTCATAATGTCTTTCCAGCTTCCAGTCACGAATTGATGAATCTAACATTGCTCATCAGTGGGGATGTTCCTAGTGTGCAGGTAAGTGATGACGTGGGCCTAGACCCACGTCTAGCTGGGTAAGTGATGAAGGTTTCCCTAACAATTGTTACCATTTTTCTTTGCAAGTATTCAGGTAGGAAATAGTCGTTACCAATTCTGGAAACCCTGAGTTTTTTCTTTTTATATTTTAGAGAAAATTTTATTTTATTCTTGTGTGTGATGAGGGGTTGCCATATTCAGGTAGTGATCATGATGTTTCTAACCCTAGCCATAACCATGGGAATTTTGCATGTGTTTCATAATGAAATGTTGTTATATCTGATCATGATCTTGACCTTGGTTGGAATACTGCAAATATTTAGGTGGAATTGATGTTCTACTGATGAAGGAAGCGTCTAAGGTAATTAATTTGAGGTTTCTTGCTGCAAGTTCTGTCTTTTTACACATCCGTAATGTGTTTTTCAGATTCCTGCCGAAAGATCAAGATGAAACCAATGGTTAATGGGGGACATTTCTGGTATCCAGATAGGTTATGACGTATACCTTCACCACATCAGACCATCTGATCGTCACATATCTAGGTAAGTGATATTGATGGGCTAAACTTGTTCTACTATGTGATTTATTTCAGGTGTTCAGGTACAAAATGATAGTGTTTTATCAATTCTAGCAGTCATCTCAAAAGAGATGATGGTGTTTCTGACCATGGCATAGACCTTGGAGTACTGCAAGAATCCAGGCAGAGTTAAATGTTGGGTCATGCGTAATGAAAAAGGCCATTTGCAGTATCCTAGTAGAAAAGGTGTCTCTATGGACAGCTTTTTTACAACGTGTTTTTCAGGTTCTAGCAGTCATGAAATAATGGTGAACCTAAAAATCGTCATTAACAGAACCTTACCAGTAACCAAGTAAGTGATAAAGTGGGTCTTACGTCACTACAGACCATGTGATCTTCAGATATCTGAGTGAGCATGGTTTCCCTAACAGAGTGTCACTTTGTGTTTTTTGCAAGTGCCCTGTTAAGTCCTTTCCTAGCATGTGGGTATGAGATTATGTGGCATTAACTCAATAGAGAGCTGCTTGTTTTTCATATATGCAGATGATGTTTTCAATACCATGTTAACTATGTTTTTGGCACGTGTGCAGGTCAGAAATTAATTTGACCCAAGTAGTACTAGTAAGCATGAGATTTTAGCATCTTCTTATTCAGAGATGATGTGTTTTTACACACCCATAGTGGTAGATAGGCAGATATCCAGGTAATTTATCATACTGTCCATCACCGCATTATTGACTGTAGGATTTTTGCAGGTATCCCTTCAAGAGAGGAAGGTGTCTCTTACTAGGGTTTAACCTCAGATTTCTGCCGCTATCCAGGTAACGTTGATGAATTTCAGTGATACGGTTGACCAAAGAATTTGCAGGTGTCCCTGTAGAATAAGATGTGTACCAAACACATTTTCCACGATTTTTTTTCAGGTTCACGTGAAGACCTCCCTATGAGCCGGTTAGTGGTAGTTAATGATGTGTGCATAGCAGGTATTGAGGTAAGTGATAATGTGGGCCTAACCCACAGTACAGATCATATGACCTTCATACATGTAAATAAGTGACGATGATGTCCCTAACACTTGTGTTACCATATATTTTTCCAGATAACCTGTTCAGCTCTTTGATAGTACAAAGGTATGAGATGATATAATATTAAATCATCGATGTTCTTATTTTCAACTATCTATGTCATTGTTTTTAAGACTCCTCATTCCTTTGTTTTTGGCAAGTAGAAGTTAAATTAATTTGACCCTGACTGTGGGGGACGGGAGGGGGGAAAACCTAGTTACACAGAGAGAGAGAGGCAAACTATAAGAGACTCTTAAATACAGAGAATGAACTGAGGGTTGATGGGGGGGGTGCGAAATGGGTGATGGGCATTGAGGAGGACGCTTGCTGGGATGAGCACTGGGTGTTGTATGTAAGCGATGAATCACGGGAATCTACCCCCAAAACCAAGAGTACGCTATATACACTCTATGTCAGCCAACTTGACAATAAATTACATTTTTTTAATTAATTTTTGACCCTAATAATACTAGCAAGCAGTTTTTATTGTTTTCTTATCTGGAGATAACGTGTATTTCTCACTCATAGTGGTATGTCAGATATCTAAGTCACGTATCATATTTTGCTAACTGCATTATTAACCATGGAATGTTTGCAGGTATCCCTTCAAGAGAGGAAAGTGTGTCTGACTAGGGTTTAACTTCAGAGTTCTGGAAGTGTCCAGGTAATGTTTATGGGTCTCCAAAGGATACAAGTGACCAGGGAATTTGCAGGTGCGTGGGTAGAATGAGACATGTCCCAAACGTAAACCACAGTATGTCTTTCAGAACATGCCAAGAGATCACAGTGAGTCTGTCTATACCAGTTAATGGGGGAGGACATCACTGGTATTAAGGTAAGTGCTGCTCTGGCCCTAACCCATGACACGGACCATCTGATCTTCGTGTATTTAGGTAAGTGATGACATGTGCTGCCACTTTTTATTACCATGATTTTGTTGCAGGAATTCAGGTAAGAAGGAAGAATCTCGCCAATTCTGGAGACTGTAAATTAAGAGATAATCGTGTCTCCAGTGGTGAGATCAGCCTACCTAAGGTTACTGGTAGACTTAATGAGTCCCGCAGTGATACAAGGGACAAGGTTCTTACCAGGGTCCAGGTAATAAAAGTGTTGTCATATCACATCTGTTCAAGTGTGCTTTTCAGGTCACCGTTAAGATACGATGGTAAGCTTCATAAAGATGATGAAAGGGATTTTGTTTGTATCCGGGTAAGTGATGATGATAGCCTTTTCCATGCAATAGACCATCTAATATTCAATATCTATGTAAGTACGGGTGGTGCTCCTAACTTCGTGTTGCTGGGTTTTTTGTGTGTGTGTGTTTTGCAAGTATTCGGCTAAGAAATGATATTGTTAGTCAATGCTAGTAAGCATTAGCCCTTTCTTTAAAATTTTTTAAATGTATTTGTTTTGAGAGAGAGAGAGAGAGTGAGCATGAGCGTAGGAAAGGCAGAAAGCAGGAGAGAGAAAGAATCCCAAGCAGATCTGCAGTGTCAGCGCGGAGCCCGATGCAGGGCTCCAACTCACGAAGCATGAGATCATGACCTGAGCCGAAATCAAGAGTAGGACGTTTAACTGACTGAGCCCCCCAGGTGCCCCAGCCCTTATTATTTTAAAGCTTAGATACAACATTTGTAAAACCTCAGTAGTGACAGAGATAACACAAGTGTCCAGGTAAGTTAATTGACCATCTCCTGTTTATTGACCACGGATTCTTATACTAGTCTTGTCGAGACAGTATTGTGTCTCTAACTGGAGGCTGACCTTGAACTCTGCAAGTTTCTAGGTAGATTTGATAGGCCTCATAAATTCGATGGGATTTGGCAGGTGTTCAGGTAATACATGTATTCCTAACACAGTTTTTGCCATGAATTTTTGTAGAACCCAATCAAGAGATAATGGAAGGCCTTACATCCTGTCTTGATTAGATACCAGAAAAATCCCAAATTACCTACTGTGGTCACGAAGAGCACTGGGTGATGTATGGAATTGTTGAATCACTGTATTGTATGCCTGAAATTAAGATTATACTGCATGTTAACTTTACTGGAATTAAAATTTAAAAAATACATATGTAAGGGGATTCAAACACAATCCCAGTGAAAAAATGATCATGGAGCAAGATTTTCCATTTTCAATAGCTGCCTATGAAAAAAATCTTGCTCCAATTCCTAAAATGAGAAAAGGCAAAAAATAAAATCGAATGAATGAATGAGTAAATAAATCAATATATATTGTTGTCAGTTGAACCATCATCTCTTGATTTGTATTTTTACAGACACCCGCTCAAGAGGAGATCATGTCTCTATTCAAGGGTCTTGTCCCTGGAGCTTTGCAGGTATCTGGATAAATTTTATGGTTACCTTTAAGTCTGTAGGGCTCAGTAGGTTTTTAGGTGTCTAGGTTATAGAATTATCCTTAAACAATTGGGGAGAACCTCAAGTGGTATTGAAGGCGAAGTTTTGCTTGCGTTCAAGTACAAGTTAATGGTGTTTATACCACAGTTAGAGCTCATGAGATTTGGCAGATACCCAGGTAGACAATGTTGTTGGTGTTCTTAAGCCAACATAGTGACCGTGTTTATTTTTAAGTATTCTTAAGTTGTAAGCAGTGATCAGGGACATTTTGCAGATATCCTGTCACACTGTGAAGGTGTCTCTAACTAAGGTGTTTTTCTTGGAAATTTGTAGGTGTCCAGGTAATGTGTCCCTAATCCAGATAACGATCATGGGATTTTGCAGTTACCCAAGCAAGAGACGACATGCCCCTGCCATGATCTTGATTCCCCTGCACATGTCTAGGTATCCAGGTAAGAGACGGTATTTGTCTGATTATATTAGTGGCCCGGGGGCTTTTACTGGTCCGCGGGCAGATGATGCTTATGTCTGTCTCTAGAGTGCTGACCTTTGAATTTTACATGTATCCAGGTAAGAGTTGATCTGTCCTTTACCGTGCTAGTGGCGTTAGGATATTTTAGTTCAGATAAGCAGTGGTATGGCTTTAACCATGTTAGTTACCACGAGATTTTGCAGGTATCCGGGTAAGATACCCTGTATCTACAACATGTTATTTCTCTTCAGACTTTTAAGGTATTCTGGGAAGAGATGATGATGGTCCTAACCACACTAATGACGACAGAAATTTGCACATATCCACTCAAGAGACGATGGCATCTCCGTCAACATTGGTGGCTGTGGAGGTGGAAGAAATGGAATGCTTTTTTTTTTTTTTTTTTTGAAACTATATAATTTGTTACAAGAATTTTGACATTCAATGACTAGTAAATGTTATTCAAAATTGTATTTTGTTCTATCATTTCTTGATTCACTTTCTCCATAATGACATTTGCACCAGGCGTCTTAGGCTCACATTTATGAAATATTTTAATATCTTGGGACCATTGATACAGACCCACTTCATCTGAAATGTGGTTATTCCTAACCACACTAGGAAAACTAGGCTGTCGACCCAATTCTTCATTAAAAGGGTTGGGGGTGGGGCACCTGGGTGGCGCAGTCGGTTAAGCGTCCGACTTCAGCCAGGTCACGATCTCGCGGTCCGGAGTTCGAGCCCCGCGTCAGGCTCTGGGCTGATGGCTCGGAGCCTGGAGCCTGTTTCCGATTCCGTGTCTCCCTCTCTCTCTGCCCCTCCCCCATTCATGCTCTGTCTCTCTCTGTCCCAAAAATAAATAAAAAACGTTGAAAAAAAAATTTTTTTTTAAAAAAAAGGGTTGGGGGGCAGGGGCGGGGGCGCCTGGGTGGCTCAGTCGGTTGAGCATCCGACTTCAGCTCAGGTCATGATCTCGTTGTCCATGAGTTCGAGCCCCACGTCGGGCTCTGTACTGACAGCTCAGAGCCTGGAGCCTGTTTTAGCTTCTGTGTCTCCCTTTCTCTCTGCCCCTCCCCCATTCATGCTCTGTCTCTCTCTCTCTCTCTCTCTCTCTCTCTCAAAAATAAATAAACATTAAAAAAACTTAGGAAAAAAAAGGGGTTGGGGGAACCAAGGAAGAAGAATATTGGTATACATATTTTGGAGAAAAGAACATTTGTATCACCCTCCTGATATGAATAGGCATTAGATGGTATGTTAGAAAAAAATCTGTGAATCGTGATAGAGATTAATGGGGAACTTGAATATCTCTTACCTAATTTTCAGTTATTAAATTACTTAGTTTATATCATTACCATATAGAAAATTAGAGCTGAGTAAGAATTTGATGATCATTGGGGCGCCTGGGTGGCTCAGTCGGTTAAGGGTCCAACTCTTGTTTTCAGCTCAGGTCATGATCTCCTGGTTCATGAGTTCAAGCCCCACATCGGGCTCTGCACTGATGGCCCAGAGCCTGCTTGGGATATTCTCTCTCTCTCTCTCTCTCTCTCTCTCTCTCTCTCTCTGCCCTTCCCTGCTTGCATGCTCTCTCTCTCTCAAAATAAATATATAAACTTTAAAAAACAAAAGAATTTGCGGAGTACGGGGAGGTTAATCAAGGTCACACAGCTGTCTAGTCGTGAAGTGCACTTTCCACTACCCTGCTTTCCTGGTTTGAAAACCTGAGACCAATTAAAAAGCAATAAAGCAAGCGTCCAGGCGCTTGTTAGAATCGATATAGCTCAGGAAATGTACGTCCAATTGGCCAGACTCTTCATCGTGTGCTTTGCTTTTTTGTTCATGTAGTCAGTATAAAATTCTCCTTGTCCCTGGGTCTCCGTCCTAAACCCCCAGCTACAGATGTCTCCAGTGAAGGGAAACAACCTAGTCTGAATTGCAATTCAGCCGAGTGGGATCCCTGTGAGCTTCCATTCTCCTCGGATAGAACCGTTCTGCGATCCATTTACAACCATTGTTCATCCAAGTGTGGAACCACCACTCCATTTCAACCCAATGGAGCATATATCAGAGCAAGACCTGGTAGGTCTAGTTCCATAGGAAAAGAGAAGTAAAGGGTTGAATCTGCAACATTGGATGATGATCCTGTTGGAGAAAGAAAATTAATGAAGATAAACAAACGTGACAAGATGTCTTCACCCCCATCCCTGCACACAGTAGGCACTCAGTGTTTTTCTAAGTAAATGAGTGCTTCTTGACAGGTTGGATGATTAAGGATCAGTTCATTCAACCACCATTCATTCTTCTTGTGTGTGAAGTCACGAAAGCTAAAACTCCATTTCCCAGACTTCTTGCAACATGGATGTATGATTCAGGGTCCATCATCCAGTGTAACGGTATGTTTAACTTTTACTGGAATTAAGTCCCAGGTAGAAGGGCAAAGGAGTGGACATTTTGATGGCACAGAATGTGGCAGGGGTACCTTGGTTCTGGCCAGACGCATATGAGTTCGTCTAATTCATAAAGCAGGTAAACCAATGCCGGAGACCTAGCTCAGGGTCCAATATGCTACCTGAAGAGACATTCATTTTCCCACTTTCTTTTTTCTTTTAGTTTTTGAAAATTCAGGCCATATTGCCATAGAGATACAAGACGTTGAAAAAGCCAACTATTAAACCACCAGTGAAACCCATGAAGAGCCAAGGAAAAACTAATCATCCATATGAATACATAGTATATAGTTACTATAAGGTCAATATAATTTTGTGTTCTGATTTCTTTTAAAATTGTAAATATATATGTGCATATTTTAATATCTAGCAAATTGCAAAAATGACCAGGAAAAATTAAACATGCAAACCTGTGCCCCTAGAAGTCCTTCATTCAACACTTAAGTACCTACCAGTAGTCGGTACGGTTCCACGCTCTGGGGATCACGGGTGA